AAACCGTGAACCGAACCGAACCGAACCGAGGCTCCAAAACAGTGAACCGAACCGAACCGAGGCTCCAAAACCGTGAACCGAACCGAACCGAACCGAGGCTCCAAAACAGTGAACCGAACCGAACCGAGGCTCCAAAACCGTGAACCGAACCGAATCGTGCCTTTGGTGTATCGTTACACCCCTAGTCTGAACACAAACCCCTTCCTTCTTACATATCCATCCATTCATCCACATTCATAACCATGTAATGGCTAAGGAGAGAGAGCCGGGGCAGATCCCAAACAAGCAGAGAGAGAGAGGGTTTGGATCACTTCAACTCTGACAAAGTGCTTTTTGTGAAATGTAGAGAGAGAGAGAGAGAGAGAGAGAGAGAGAGAGAGAGAGAGAGAGAGAGAATCCCAAACAAGCAGAGAGAGCCGGCCACAGCCACAGAGCCTCCAAAAACAACATCAACAAATCCATAAAGAATTCAGCAACTGTATTACAAAATCTTTTCAAAAGTATTCATATTTTTGAGAAATCACTTGAATAATGTTCATGTCATTAAAAAAAAATTTAACTGCCATTGCATTCCAAAACCACATGATCTTGTCCTGCAAACGTAAAAACATCAGACAAGATAATAGATATGTACATCTGTCAGAAAGTCTTACATCACGGCAGTAGTGCATTTCCCACAATGTTCATATGCACACTCCTTTCAGAGGTACGTATGCCCAAGTATTTAATGTCTAAAGGTTGGTATATAGTCATGTGATGAGTAGTGGCGGATTAAAATTTAAAAAAAAATTGCTCAGACATAGGAAAATAGTAGTTAAATGCAATTAATACATTTTTTTCTAAAACTGTTTGAAATTGATAACTTTGACGACTCCTTAAAAGACTGCAGCTGACATCCCAGTAGGGGTCTGAAGCACTGAAATCCCATATCAAAGATAGCTTCTGTCCACTTTCTTGGCAGCTCCAGTACAAGCAGCTGGCTTCGCACCCTGAGAAAGAAACACACAGCATTTAACAGCTTTAGGTCAAGACAAGGGAATCACTCATAGCAGCAGCTCATTAACACACAGTGAGTACTGAGTGAGTACTGAGTGAGTATTGAATCAAACAAAGACGTACCCTAAAAAAACCACGTTCATACAATTACTCCCATTTAACAGAGTGAATTACAGGGCAGCCATTACAGCTTCCACTTCCCCAACCGCCCAATGCAGCACCTCACCTTGTACAAACTGCAGACCAGCATGAAAAGAGACGAGGTTGCCTTTTGCTCCAGGTCATCAGTGTGTTCCTGCAAAGAGATGCACTGTCTTTCTGCACTGGACAATATCCATCAGAGGCACACTGGAAATCTAAACCAGGGGTCGGATCACCACCCAAACCCCCCCCCCCCCCCCCCCCCCCCCCCCCCCCCCCCCGTCACTCTTTGGAAGCTCAGCCTAGCAGTACTTCTACACAAGCAGGCTCCCTTTTCCCCTGCTTTGGATAAATGAACAGATATAATGCGGTGGATGTGCCTCTCACCCCGTTGATGGTCACCCAGGGCACGTATTGGTGGGGCGGGTTGAGCGCCTGCGTCATCAGTGCATTCGCATGCATCAGCTGGTTTCCCAGGTCTCCCTTGACACAGGTCATGACAGTGTTCCAGTCCACTTTTGACTCATAAAGTTGAAAACACTGGGGGAACAGAGTCAGAATGTCAGGCAAGACCTCCACTGCATGCAGTGCCGCTCAACGGAGCCTAAATACCCACCACTCGCTACCACCACAGCATAAAACCAGCAAAACACGTCCGTGCCAATAGTCAGCTTCCAAGTACAAGCAGCCGAGACCTTCTCCTTAAATTAGGGGGGTATTATAGTTTATGAGCAGATAAATGTCAAATTTTGATACATACGACTTGGGCAGACTTGATAACATCTTCAGACGATTCCATGCAGTAGATTATTGGAAAGGAAAACTGGGTTAAATTCATAATGCAGGCCTGTGGGAGACAGGAGGCAGAACTGCAATGAAACAGATACATTTTGATATGTTGGGGGAAAAGAAAGAGAAACGCTGTGTGCACACCTCAATCATGTTTCCCAGACACTCGTCTTCACCGTGTTGACAAGTGAACGTATAGGGTGGCTTCTGACCCGATTCCTAGGACAAGCAGGGACAGCGTGAGCAGGAGCGAGACGTCAGAGTTACACGCCAATGCGCCACCTTACGGTTTACCGTGCCGTGCGCTCCTTACCTGTGCATTGCCAAAAGGCACCAGACTGACTGCCATGATGTCATGGAGCATCAGCAAAGTGGGATACAACTGCAACACCAGGAACTGCCGGCAGCCGGGACACAAGCTCTCGTAGTACAGAGCCACCTCCACTGGAGAGTCAGTTTGGTTCAGCCCGTCAGCCTTCTGCTCAAAGCAGTGCTTCTGTACCTGCGCCAATAGGGAGTCACAGATTTGGAGACCCTCCCAGGCAGCACAGACAAATAGGCAAGACTACACCCTGCACAGGACACCAGTGCATCACACTATGGGAAATGCAGAGGCAACAGTGAGCCCAACTACAGGAGGGAAGCAGGGCCTCTGTGGGAAAGCCACACAACACAGTGAGACCGAGTGCACAGACAGACATACAGACAGACCGACCGATCAGGGGTGTTACTGGGGACGTAAACCCTGCAGCCCTGGCTACTGAGTCACCGCGCGGCTTCCCAGTATTGCTTATTACAGTTAAAGGGTCAAGATCACGAGATCAGAATTGGTGCTCAGGTCGTGCCTTACTGCATCCCACACAGCACATGCGCTAAAAAGCACCGAATTAAAATCTAAGTAACAAAAGGACATATCGTCATAAATCCTTGTGTAAGGACCATCGGGGAGGCGATTCTCGTTTTAACCCTCCGCTTTCATAGCCAGTTCGTAGGCAGTTTACGCTTTTAAGTTGTTAAGCTTAAATGTACGTTATTACCAAACACCGTTTGACATCGTTTAAGTAAAAATGTATCGTTAGTTTCTTTATGAATCAGTGCAGGAACCTACGAAAAAAGGAATAAGATTTTAACCTAACTTCCTTTATACAGTGACAGCTTAACAAACTTAATGACATCGTGTGACATTATTATGCCTAACCCTTTCTGGGTTATTTGTAATAAAAACGTAAAAAAACAGTTGTCGGTACTTTTCGTATAGTGGTATTAAAACACAACAAAAGTAACTACATTTCGGAATGGCACTTAATAAATGCTGGTTCGCCCGTTTTCGTTTTTATATTTGCTGAAAATTCCCAAGCGCACGGCAAGCCAGGTCACTTTCGGTTTTAACTGGGTGATTAAGACTAACCAGGCTTCCGACACCACTAACGGGACGATAAAAAGCGAACGTACCCCGCATTTCTCCGCGGAGCGGCACCACTGCGCCGGGGGGTACAGACAAGGCGAGCTGGGTCTGCACTCGCTGCTCTCCAACACGAAGTAGAAGCCGAGGAGGAAAAGCCCCAGAGAGACATTCATCTTTCTCGGTGACCTTGCGAGAAGTAATTGAGAGGTGTTAGTGCCTGGTACTTATATGTTACAGAAACTCCTCCTTCAGCCGCGTTCAGAACACCGGCCCTGCGTGTGTCCCTATTAGTGAATAAGCACCGCCGTCCGATATGACACACTGTATAATTATGGGATCTTCCATATTATGAAGTATGTTTGTTTTGCTGTTTGTGACTGAACCGGTATGGGAGTTACAGTATTTTATTTGTAATGTAACCATACATCATCTAGTAATCTATTTCCTTTCCTCTGTGGTCCATCATACCAATCAGTGACGATCAAATTTATACGTAGCCTAATTCGTATTAAGAAAATTTCATTATATTGTCAAAACAGTAATAGCCAGTAATATGTATCATGTCAAATCAAACATTATTTTTAAATCTTTCTTTATTCGTGTGTCACGGGTTGTTTCGAAAGAAAACTCGGGCCTGCAACAAAGTTTCATTTCCCTCTCAAGACTTAATGACTAGCTGGTTCAGTTTTTTTCTTGTGGTTTTATTAATCTCAGTAACAGGCCCAGACTTATGCCCAACATTTGGTTATAAACAGACCATCCAGTGCACACTTCCCGCTTGAATACACCGACGCATTGATTAAATGCAGTAACGGGTTCTGCCGGATGTCGATGCGCACGGAAACCCCCGAAGGGCGGGTCGGTCCGGCGCAACAGCACCGATCGTGGCGCGGAAACGCGGGCAGAGGCGCGTATTCACTGCGTCGCTCCCTTAGCAACTGCTGACTACGTGAAGTTTCACCATTTTCATTGGTGTTACTTTGGAAAATGACACAGCGCAAACAAATAATGCAGAACTCTCTATTTGAATGAGAAAATAACAGTGCGATATTGAAAAGTACGCGAAACGGTGATGTGATTTTCACCATGTTCTGTTGATTTTGTTACTTCTTTGCAAATATTAACATTAAAACAAAGAACTAAAAGCAAACTGATTCGACTCTTGTGTTACTTTGTAAAATCGTTTTTAGGAACGACGTGTGTGTTTGTAGAGACTGAATTTTGTTTTCCTTGAGCGGCAGTCGTCCGTATATAATTGGAGAACTGACTACCTGTGAAAGACAACGCTGTGTGTATTTCAGAGCAAACCAGCTTCTGTTCCACTTGTGCATTGTTTGGTTTTATTTAGAATAAGGAAGGAGTCCAGTCACAAGGATGACTGGAATAGTAGCCAAATCAACGTGTTTCTCTGTTGAAAAAACTCGTATTGCAAAGTTATGTTGTTCGGTGGAAAGGGACTAAATTTCCCTCTGTCTGTGCCCGTCATCCCGGTGTTGCTCAAAACAACAACGAGGCAACAGTCTGCACGTTAGAAGACGGATGCAATAGTTCCTTTCAACCAGGGCTGGGGGGGGGGGGGTGCGGTGGTCAGTGCCCCCGTGACAACATGCATGCCCCCCGTGGTCTCCCTACATACGAATGCTCCTTGAGTCTGAAATAAATGTAACATTACTACTATTATTTACATGTAGATATGTAGTGCGCTGAGAACAGGCGAAACACACATGTAAGCACATTTTCTTGACGGTGCGCCGGGTCGTCGAGTCGCTTCAGTTGGTGAAAAGTGAAGTTAACGACAGAAAAAATTATCAAGCTTGTGGAAGCAGGACAACCTTAACCAGAAATCAGAGTGAATTACAAATTTGTAAGTGACTGCAGAGCATTGCATAAATAACATCGTTTATCACAATTCTTCTGCTTCTTAATCATGACAATATAGTGTAAGTAGCACTTGGAGGACATTGAGTCAAATGCATCTGCCCCCTTAATAGAACAACTGGCCTTAGTCTGCACTGCATCCCCAGATGAAATGGTCTAGAACTGCAACTGCATTCAACAAAAAGCACAGCACAGTGTGGGTGGTTCAGTCTGCACTGTGTACTGGGGGCATATCAGAAATCAGGTACCGTGACAAACAAGTTATGGGGCATAACTGTAGAAAATGCTGACCAAGGACCTTTATGGGTAATGAACTTTAGCATGTTTTAAACATGCTCCTTTTGTGGCCTTTTACAATAATGTGTGAGCGATTGGTGCATTTGAACTACAGCAGAATGATTCTGATGTGATAACACCCCCCCCCCTTGCTGTCCACAATATTGTATGCTGGTTTATAAAACATCACAAAAGGCAGATACAGGAAGGATCAGCCTGTGGGGGGGGGGCAGATGAGAGATAGATCAGCCTGTCGGAGGGCAGATGAGAGATGGATCAGCCTGTCGGGGGCAGATGCAGGGAAGGATCAGCCTGTTGGTGGCAGATGCGGGGAAGGATCAGCCTTCCGGGGGCAGATGCGGGGAAGGATCAGTCTGTCGGGGGCAGATGCAGGAAAGGATCAGCCTATCGGGGGCAGATGCGGGGAAGGATCAGCCTGTCGGGGAGCAGATGAGAGATGGATCAGCCTGTCGGGGGTAGAAGCGTGGAAGGATCAGCCTGTCGGGGGGCAGATGAGAGATGGATCAGCCTGTCGGGGGCAGATGCAGGTAAGGATCAGACTGTCGGGGGCAGATGCAGGAAAGGATCAGCCTGTCGGGGGCAGATGCGGGAAAGGATCAGCCTGTCGGGGGCAGATGCGGGGAAGGATCAGCCTGTCAGGGGCAGATGCATGGAAGGATCAGCCTGTCGGGGGAGAATTAGCCTGTTGGGGGACAATGAGGGGGAGGATCAGCCTGTCTGGGGGGGGCAGATGTGGGAAGGATCAGCCTGTCAGAGGGCGATGAGGGGAAGGATCAAACTGTCGGGGGGCAGATGCGGGGAAGGATGTCGGGTTGTCTCCATGCTTGGTGCTGTGAAACCAGAGACCGTTCTCGGGCATGTGTTGTGTGTCATTTGTGACGTCTCTCCTGCCTGCCCTGCTGCTGTACCACTGTTCATCCTGCCATCTGAAGCAGCAACAGCACCTGCCTGCCCCTCGCTTTGAGACTCAAATATTAAAATTGGGACAGTGTGAATTGGGACTTTGCCATCTTGCTCATTTGACTTCCTCTGCTGGCCCCTGGGGGATGGGCTCCCCCTTTGAGTCTGGTTCCTCCTAAGGCTTCTTCCTTCTAGGGAGTTTTTCCTTGCCACTGTTGCCTCTGGCTTGCTCATTGGGGGCTTTGGGCGGGGATAATGTAATGTGAAAATGTGATAACAAATGAAGTTGAATTTCCTGATTTTGATGGCCCTCTTCCCCATACTCCAATTACAGTCACATGATTATAAGTGGAGAGGAATTTGATGGTTATGGCTTCAGCCAAAGTTAAAGATTCCCTTAAATTTCCTGGATTTAATGACTGGTTGCTCAAGGTAAAGTTCACATGATCTGTGGTATCTGCTGTTCGTGGTGATGGTGAGGTCTGTTAGACTCTGTCGGACTCTGCCTGCGATTGATAACCACAGTGCGGTTTTAATGAGCTGCTCCTTTGCTCTTGGGGGCCTGTGATCACAATCGAGCCAGTGATTTTCAGTATTTACCTACAAGTGCATTATGAATCCATCCATCCATGTGTCCTGTGACTGCTTGACATCACAGGCTCCTGGGTTTGGATAAAGGGACCTGATTGAATTCCATTGAGGGCGGGGTCTGCAGAAGGGGCATTTCCTTTGAAAATAAACATTTTACTTTGTGACTTGTGTGATTTTAACTACATCCTCACATGATGCATACTAAGGTCCTAGGGATATTTAAGGTAAAGTATGAAGTAATATTAGTATACACAGTATACACAGACTCTAGTGGACACAGGGGCACAGTCTATGGGAGAAAAGTTAGGATGATTCCTGAGTGACAGGGACCCCAAGCAAACCTGGGCTGGGGCCCAAAACTTAAAAAGAATCCATCTAATTCATCTAATTAATAATTTGCTTAGTGAGACCCAAAGAGATTTCCTTACTGTTTTTAAATCTTGACCAAGGGAACTGTGCAAGAATGTATTTGTTCTTATGTACCTGTGCACGTCAGATAGTTTCAGTTCAACCAGGTGCTTTTCCCAAAGAGCACAGCACAGTCGGGTCTCTCTGCACAGTCGGGTCTCTCTGCACAGTCGGGTCTCTCTGCACAGTCGGGTCTCTCTGCACAGTCGGGTCTCTCTGCACAGTCGGGTCACAAGTACCTAATGTGACCATCAAGGTGCACATCTTCAGTTGCTGAAAATAATTTATAGTCTAGTAAACAAAAACTCAGACTTCCACTGACTGGTTTACTGAAAGCAAGAAGCACATACAACAAAAACACAATTTTTGGATCTTTCCCCATAAAACCCACGACATTTTTACACACTGCTCAGACCACAAGAGGGTGCTGTTTACTGTAAGCCAGGCTACTACTACAGGAAAGATTCCAGATAACACAAAAGACAATGTCAAAGAACAACTATTTTCTTTTTTAAATCATTTTATTTTGAAGTACCATAGAAAACTTAAGTACCAGTCTAAGACAAACACAGCATTGGCATAAGCTGTTGATTTGTACACTGAGAAAAGGCTGCGTTTGGTGATAGACTGGGGACAGAACATAACCAAATGGATGACATCAGAATTGTGCAGACATTAAAGCCAGCAGAACGCTACAATCACACCGGACAGCTCAACAGTGCCCCCGCTGCTCTCCTCCAAATAGGATGAACAAAATTCTCAGCACGCATTTTCACCAGCCATTCATCCCCAATGATTTGCTTAATGATAATAAAAAGATAGAGAGCATGCTGCACTTGCAGGGACCAAAGGCTTCAGGTTATGCTGCTGTCTCCGATGATGCTGGCGATTGTTTATCTTTTAGTTTTTACCGAATCGGTTTACAAAGGACGAAAAAAAAAAACAAGGACAAAGAAAACTGACTGAATGATTTTAAAAAGCACACAACCTACATATTACTTACGGTATAACACAAATACACAAGCAGGTGGAGGAGATGGGACCTATCGACTGACATCCCCCAGCACACACGCCTGGTCTCTCTCATGTGACTAACATTGCTTTGTGGGAAGCGATTGCACCAAACACAGACGTCAGCAACTGACTACAGTACATGAATTGAAACACAATAAAGATTAGCTTTGTAATTTAGTGCAAAGTCTAAATTATTGTCATTTGGCAGACTGATATTGGTGTGTAGCTGACGAGTGGGGCAATTATGGCCCACACATTTTTCTTTTAGTTTCTGAATAAAGAAGACAGAATATCTGTCTTTGGAAAAGATTTCGACAGCTGCAGAATCCACATTTGATTACAAATGTATGTAAATTTGGTACTGTCAAACTTCTGTCAATGAACACTACAAAAAAAATTGCACTTTTTCAAAAAAGTCAAAGGAAACAGATATAAAATATCCAGCATTTCTATATAGTGCAGAACTCCAGTAGGTGATAAAGTTTAGATCTTTTGCTTTTCAAAGGGGCCATTTTGGACCCCGTAACTATCAACATTTGTGGTGGAAAGTTTTGGTTTGAAAGCAGTGTTAGATCCTAGAGTTCCATTGTCTTGAGGGAGCACAAGTACAAAAACAAAAGACTTGCGCAGTCTTAAAAACTTCAAGTTAAAAATAAGAAAATGATTTTTAAACAATAGTCAAGTTTTTTCACCCTACTTCTATTTTCTCTAATAAAAAGACAAACAAATTTGTTTTTAAAGATTTTCTCTATTTGGTTAATTGGAAATTGTAAACAAGTATAAATGTATGGAAAGAAATAATATTTAAGCTAGCTTATTTAAAATAATCTGTCAGGTTATGATGAACAAGTAAACAAATGTACAAGTAAAGGAAGCAATTGGACAGCTTAAAAAAACTAACCAAGAAGCCAATCCAAAGCCAGCATGGCTGCAATTCAGCCATTCTGACTTGGGGCCATTCTGACGTGTGGCTTCCCTCAGTCAACAGAGCTCCTTGTCAGGTCAAACAGAAAGGAATAAAAGCAAAGGCCAGCCTGTACAGCTTAAGGGCGGCATCCCAGCCTGCGTAGCTGAAGGGCGGCATCCCAGCCTGCACAGCTTAAGGGCGGCATCCCAGCCCGCACAGCTTAAGGGCAGCATCCCAGCCTGCGTAGCTGAAGGGCAGCATCCCAGCCCACGGGCCGCCTGACATTTGTAGCGTGTCTTTGTAGTGCATTCAGCAGATTTTCACACCCGTTCATCAGTCTCATCTTTCTCCCACCCACACATGCTCTCTAGTTCAAGCTAACTGCTGAGATAAAGCTATGAAGGCTGCCAAAGGGAGGAGACACTGACACAATGTACCTCCCGTCTTTATTTTATTTGCTTTCAGAAAACACCCCACCAGTTTCAAAATGGAAACTGTAAGACTTCCACAGCTTGGTTTAAACAAAAATGAGCGGACTCCTAGACACAGCCACGCACTGGGCAGATGAAGATGTCTTCTGGCTCGCTGCAGGCCCAGTTTGGAAAATACTGGCATGGCGTCTGTCAGCTGAGGCAGCACTTTGTCAGGTGATGCAACAGAGACCATTTCCTGCATAAGTCTATCTCCATAAAATCTGCACAAAACACAGCCAGAGCTAAACAGCTTCTCACAGTCTGAGATAATGTCGGTCACCTGTATTCAGGGCCACCCAACAGAAAAATACAACCTGCATTTCATTAAATGATATGTACAAAAAATACCCCAAAGCTCAGCACTCAGTGTGAATTTCTCTTAAACATCTCGTAAGATGTGACCTACTTGTTGTGATCAAAAGATTTTGTCCATTGGGTCAGACAATTTAAGAACAATTACAGACAGTCACAACACATCAATGTTGCGTTATGATTTTAGTATGTACAATCAACTCCTGCAGCCCCAAAACATCATCCTGCTCTTTCCCTGAAAGCAAAACGCTTCAAGGGCCTGGTTCACATCCATGTGAAACTGTGTGCATGACGACATTCATCTTACCTCTAATAGTCTTCAAAACATTAACGCTTATCCAATTAATTTGGCAGTATAATCATCCATGTTAGTTAACTGGTATCTATTCACTCTTATCGTTAATGTTAATTCAAAGCATCTGGATTTACTAAACGTAGCATTCCTAAGCTTGACTTTCCGCTATGCAAGTGGCATTTCAGAAATGACTATGATGTTTAAAATAAAACGGGAAGTGTAATGCATATCTAACACCATCTGCACTGTGCAGTCCTGCAGGGGGGACATCATGTATGGGACGATTCCATTACTGCACGGAGGCCACAGAAATGGCTCACACTGCTTAATGTAGATGGCGGCTCTTTTTTGGCCCCCGCAGTCAGCTCACTCCACACCAGGCTCAGAAAATCCCAGCTTACATCCTGCCCCAGAACAAAACTGTAAATACACCGTTATGATACTCAGGTACGAAGAGGCACGCTTTTCGGGGTCCAACTCCCCTCAGACACAGCAGTTAAAGGAATCCATCGCTCTCCTGGCTCGGGCAGGACCACGGGCGGCCAGCTGGCCGAACTGGACCGAGCGGGTGATGAGAAATGAGAAATCCAACCTGCGGCTCCAGAACGGGCTACAGTCTCCCCCCATGTCTGCTATTTTTGGATTTCAAATGATGGTGTTACTGTTAGCTACAAAATCCACACACAAGGACTCTGTCCCTGTAAACCGACAGTGAGGGGCCCCTTAAACTAGAAAGTACAGCTCAAGGTCAGGCAACTCCTTCCTGTACATATACTTATATCCATTACTATTTATGCATATTGTACAGATATACAGTTTAAACAGTACTAGTAACAAGTGCTTAGATTATATCTCTGAAGGAGAAAATTCCATGCAGTCTTTAAAATGAAATCTCTCACGTCACTATTTCCAAGCTTCCAAACCAGGAGAAGCTGGTCTGCTGCATGAATGTCCTTCATTTGGCTTAAACTGACTTGATATGATGAATCTATAGCATCTTTCTAAAAAAAAAAAAAAATGCAGGTGGCAATTTCTCCAGGGCTCCTCATGCAAACTAACATGCCCTACGGCTTTTGTACATCAGATTGCGTCCAAAACAGGCGAGAGGACGGAAAGCGGCTTGGAGGAGATGCACAAGGATTATTTAGCGAGAAGGAATTGCCTCCCGGTGATGCGGATCACTTAGTCGCACTCAGGCTAAAAAAGGCAAAATGAACAATTTCTTCATTCCGGCCACAGCCCAAACCAGGAAAAAGTACATAATGTGATGAGCGGAAAAGATGGAGCAGAAATGTTTTTCTATGATGTAAAGAAAGAAAAAAAGCAGTGAGAAAATGTAAATGCGTGACAGGCCAGAAGGTGGCCGACGGCCCCTTATTCCCCGGCTCCTTACAGCCGCTGACCTTCTTAGACCTTCTTAGCTCTCGGTTTCAGAAGACAAGCCAGAATGGGCCCTACGGGCTCCCTATGTAAGGAGAGTCTGTCCCTCCGAAACGGAAGCTCATACGAGCAATGCATGTTTCCTAAAGCACCAATTCCACTCCACTGTCCGGTCCCACGTGTTCAGCCTAACCAGTAACCAGGCACAGGAACCACTTCAAATCACAAAGGAGAAAAACACTTTCAAAGAACCGAAGAACCTAAGAAACACTTAAAATCTAGGCAAGAGGGCTGATTGTTAACATGTTTAACTGGTTAACACTGAAATAACTCAAAGCTACTTTAAATAGTACAGTACACTTCAGTATCCAGTCCTCCTTGATATGAGTCATGGGACCTAATCTGAGATTCGAGTACAAAAGGGACGAACATCAAAAGCGTGAGTCTTTGCCCCTCAGCTGCGTTCATCTGGGATGCTGGGTGAGGGCAGGATAGGCCAGGGTCACATTCAGCGAGTCATTGTGCTGGACCAGCGAGGCATCCCTGTAGTGCAGGACCAGGGCCTTGAGGGAGCCGTACAGGTTGTAGGGCTCCGCAAATCCGTACCCCGTGGCCGTCTTGAAAATCACACAGTGTTTGACGTCTCCGTCAACGCTGCAGCCAGACACACAGAAATTAAAGCAATGAGTCAGTAAGGAAACACAAACCTGCCACGGCGCTGCTGAACTCTCCGACCGGATTGGTCAGAAGAGCAGTGATTGACCTATGACCTCACACATAGCGCCAGCAAGGTAAATCACAGTAGTAAATCAATGCACTATTGTAACTACTTAAAACAAAACTACTTCAAATTGATGTAGAACATAATTTAAAATTAAACTAAATATAAATGTTTGATCATTGGCAGACAAAATTAGTTTGTTATTAATAAATGTGTTTTTGGCTTGTAAATGTGAAAATATTGTCTTTAAGTATAAATGTGTAGTTAGCGTGTGATAAGCCGGCTGCCACACTACAAGCCATGCACTAATGCACTTGTAAACATACTCTGCTGTTCGGGTGGTTCTTCGCCTCCAGTGTATAATGAACATTTACCCTGTACATCAGATATGATCCATTGCTGATCCAAGTAAATAGAAGTTTTTAGATAAAAGGCAGGATGCTCTGGGCTTTAGAGAGGCACGTTTGGGGGGGGGGATGCAGAGGCTGGGGGTGCAAAAGCACCTGAACCTTTTACCCGAACAGCTGAAGGTTCCCCCCTTATAACTGCCGATCACACAAAATGTACTTAGGGGACCCCACCAGTGACAAAGTTGATTTAGGGGACTTACACCACGGAGCAGGCAAAGGCGCCCTTCTGCGTCTGGCAGTCGCGGATCAAGAAGGTTCCATCCCGCTTGGCCCTGAGCAGCTCCTCGGCCTGGATGCGCTTCACATCCCCCATGTACCAGGTGCGCTCGTCGTGATGTGGGAGCTCCTCCTCCTCGTCCACCAGCGAGGAATGGCTGGGGCAGGGAAGGAGAGGAGAGGACCTCAGAGGTGACGACTGCTTTAGCTGCACGGGTGGCGTGTATGAGGGGCTGACACCCCAGCTGGGCGTCACAATAATTACAAGAAAGCATCAGACTGTCAGTTTCTACAGCAATTTCACATTACCAAAAATCTCAAAGTGTGTCACAGTCAAAGCTAGCTTACTGCAATCCTTGCAGTCAACACACCTGCATAGATGAGTTTTAAGGTCTTTTCAAAAATATTTTCCAGGATCCAACTAGTCTCATAAACTGGAAATTGGAAGATTGCTCCACAATCAAGGCGCATACAGAGAAGCACAATGACCCAGACTAGACTATCCGGATTCTGAAGGACAATTGGAGTTGAAAAGAGGTCAGTAAGTGGGGCCTTTGCCATGGAGAGACTCTGTATTCCCACTGTAGAGCTAAGACTGCAGTGATGTGGGTTGAGTTTTCTAACCCTAACCCTGGCAGCACTGCAATCTTGTAAGGGAACACAAGGGGAGGCCACACTGCAATGTCAGTATGCAGTGGCGTAAACACATACATAAGCCTTTCAGCATGTAAAAAGCACTGAAGACCTTAACCAGGAGACATAAGTGAGAGTTCACAGTCAGCAGAAAACCTAAGCGAGACCTCAAACTTCACACTAAGATCAGTGACCACAAGGGTAGAGATGCTCTGGGCTTCCAAAAAATATGGCCTCCGACTGTTATCATGTGGAGCAGAATGGCGTTACGACTCATCCAACACCAGATCTCACTCAAGCAGGTGATGGCAGTTTAGTCAGGTCTGGTGTTGATGTGCTTCTCTCCATGTCATCTGTATAATTATCTGACCCAGAAGTAGCACGCAGATGAGAAAATGAGTGGAGCCCACCACTGACCGTTGGGGAACACTGCAGGCAAGAGGTGACACCAGATCTATGTCCCGTAGAAACAAACTGCTGTCTTTTAGAGAGGTAAGACACCCAATGGTGTTTCTGATAAACAAATGTAATCCCTTAATCTTTGCAGGATATGAGAAGGGTGAAGATTGCAGGAGACCCAGAGTCAGCAGCTGTAACAGCTAATTGTGAGTAACTCTATCAAGGATGGGTTCCGTACTAGAAAGGGTCTAATGTCTGACTGGAATCTTTCAGAGCGATTATGGGAGTTTGTGTGAGACACTATCTGACCGGTTAGAACCTTTCAGGCCCCCGGCAGAGAAGGGGAGCTTACAGACAGGCCTGATAACAGAGAACAAGCCGTAATCAAGCACTTATTGCTGTAATGAGAATTACAGCAGATGGGCAGATTTTAAGCCTGAGGAAGGAATGGGGGCTATAAGCAGACCCACCCCTGCCTCTCCGCCTCTCGCCTCGGGCAACTCCGCAGTGGAATAGAGTCCAGCCCCTTTCCAGGTAGGCTCCAAAGCCCGAGCCGTGTGTTGAGGTGAGTATGACTATATCTAGTCAGTATCTCTCTACCTCTGGCACCAGCTCAGGCTCCTATCCCACCCACCAGGTTACATCCCATGCGCCTAGAGCCAGACTTGGTCAGGGTGGATCCAGGTAACCCTTTCAGGTGCCCAGCCGAGCCCCATGGGGAGAGGTCTGGCCAGCGGGCGCTCGCCAACGGGCTCCCTCCCCAAGCCTGTACACCCCAAAATAGAAACAAACTTAATTGTATTAAATAGAGCAAACTTTAAACTGTCTTCAGTTTAAAAGTTCAACTAAAATTTTAGTAGTTGTAACTTCTAACGCAATTTTCAGTTTGTTAAACTGAATATGTTTGACGAAGTACAACTTACTGCTGGATTAAGTTACCTAAAGCTCAGTACTGAAGTCACAGTCCACCATAAATTCTCGATGTGTCATTAAGTGCGTCTCAGTGAGCATACACTGGCGGAACATGGGAAGAATGACTGCTGAATAAGAATCTGGTGAATCAAAGGGTACTTTGTTTAGCATTAGATGTGAGTCCTGTTTACCTTGGCATTCTGTGATGTTTGAGTTTTAATATCTGAGAGTGGCGATTACAGAAATAATACTATTTTATATTAGTTATGGGCTGCATGCTGTAATGAGTTATTCCAAATGTTTTATTAATATCAGTGAGATGCAGCTGAAACTGCAAAAACTTTTAAATTTCAGGAAAACGGGGACAGCTGCCAAGCTAATGCCGGCCTCATGGAATTGAGGCAAGTTTAGTGCTTCCATGAACGGATTTCAGAAATGCAACTTGTTATAAAACCACAAAAGAATCTGTAAATTTCAAAATCTGAATTGGTAAAAAAAAAATAAAAAAATATACAATTATAACTACAATTGCACTCTCCTTAAGAATTACATGACACACACAAAACGGGCTCTAGGCGCTTCCTGAGATTCTGCGAGATGCCTGCTTTGGATTTTTGGGATAATGCAGGGTTAGTTATGAAGTGTGATGCCTTTTAGATGTTAAACTTGCTGTATGTCATGTGAATTTGTTCAAGCCATGGTTGGTCAGGGGTCTATATTTGAATTTTTTTCCAGATGGTGATGAGTCAGAACCTGCGGTTACACCAGTGACCCTTCTGACAGTCAGCAGTGAGAATACCAACTAGTCCAGTTCACTACCAGCAAGAAAGTCTTTGTTGTCATTGGAAATTAAGATGACGTGAGTACTGACACCTTTTTGGTAATTTTCACTCTTATCTAGGCACTATATCTTTGATATCCCGAAGGACTGACAAACACTTCCGAATTCATTCATTTGCTTGGTCTGTCACCTAGATTACGGACTCTCAAGAATGAATTAATGATACATGTGTAGAAACTGTTCTGGGAGGGTATAAAAAGCATTGATGTCTACCCTGCATTGCATTGTACTGAAAAGTAGCACTTTCTGCACTTACACTGATATGTAATATACTGATTCACAGCAGATGTTCATGTTAATGCAGCTTAGCATGGCTGCTTGGTGCTCAAAGTTACTCTGCTTTGGCTGTCATTTAAAGTATTTTAAAAACTGGGAAGCCAGTTCGAAAACTGCAGATAAGCCAGTGAAGCCTGATCTTTTGCTTATTTTATAACATATATATAATATAACATATTTTCTTATGTTACATAGTGTTTGAATCTGGAGCATTAGCTGCCAGTCTGCTGGGTCTGAACAAGAGTGATCTAAGTACTACGAGTAACTCCCACTGCCTCATGGACCCCTGCGGACACGTCCGTTATAGGTGAAAGATATGTTCAAGAATATATGATGCATCACATTATCCTTAAATCTGTGAATTGTTAAACTGTAGCATAAATGTGGAAAATGCTCATTTTAAGTCCTCCATCCTGAGCATTTGATCTGATTCATTCTGCCGTAAGCAGAAAGGAAAAGTCCAGCCTTAAAGAAGGTTTATGTTCTTACATAGTCTCTTGCACCATATATGTGGATATGTTGTATTTTTATTACAGTATTATTTACTACACATTTGTATGATGTCAAAGTAACTGATTGATAAATCTGACTGACAAGAGCGAATGCCTTTGAGTTGTATGTTTATTAACATGTAATAGGTTTTTAAGTTAAAAAAGTTTAACATTAACTTAATTACAGTAACTTAATTTGATCTCCGAATAAAATCTTAGTTTACACATTATTAAAATAATTTGGTACACAAATTTAATTTAACGTCACTTAAATAGCACAGATAACACAAAAAAATGTATCATTTGATTAAAAAAACATTATTTGAAGTTGACTAACTTAATTTTTTGGGGCAACTCATTGCCTCAGTTTGTTTGAGTCTGCTAACTTATTACGGTTTACAGTGTAACAAAAATGAATTAGATGCTGGAGGAACAACATGGTGTCCCCCGGACGGCCCCAGAATGCCCTCCCCCCATCTGATCCCTACTCCTCCCACACTCCCCATCCTCTCTCTCTACCCCACCTACCACCCTCCTTAATGAAATCTTTAAAAAGCCAACTTTGTGAGACTTGTCTCAATGTAATCAGGTTCACCAGATGTGCGTCTGTGGTTGTCCTTTCGTGTACTACCACTATGAGGCGCTGCTTCAATTTTGGTGTGATTTGTCTCAAACTGTGTTCAGGATCTTCACCAGTGCAAATTGTCTGCAAAGTTTGAAAAAGATCTGTCAAATATTTTTTGAGTTATCACACTAAAGGCGGCGGGCCGGTCCCAAAACCATATGTAGTCCCCATCTGGTCAATACAATACTGCCCTACAGAGGCAAAACATAGTAACTATGCTGACAGTGGGACTAAGAAAAGTGACTTCTATGTTTTTTGATCATATAAATAGCAGGAACTTAGCTGAACCAAGATATTTTGTTGCAAGATAGAGTATAAAACATGGTCATAACTCAATTTTGATAAAACATGCAGTTACAGTGTTTCACCTCTGTATGGTATATACTCCCTGCAGTTACAGTGTTTCGCCTCTGTATGGTATATACTCCCTGCAGTTACAGTGTTTCACCTCTGTATGGTATATACTCCCTGCAGTTACAGTGTTTCGCCTCTGTATGGTATATACTCCCTATGAGATTCTAATCTAGCCAATGCTATGAGTTGCACCCTCACCACCAAACTACGATGTGATGACAGACAGTCCCTTTAAACATTTAAAATGCTTAAATAGTGACCTCTCTTACTATCCACTTTTATCCCTCACATTCACAGAATTCTGCACACTTACCCTTCTGTGTCGTTCTTCATACCCAACCACTCCTGGATCTTCCTTTGCCTGGTGCCCTTCTGCGTGAGCCATCTGCAAACCAAGGAAGCAGGCCATTAAGCAGAGCTCCTGACATTCAGCTGGCACTCACTCCCTGCCGGGGCTCCGTCGCTCAGCGGCGCGGTTCTGACGTACACTATGTACTGGTCTCGGAGTTTCCTCAGCTGCATGAGGTCAGGTTTCAGGCTGTTCATTCGCTTGTCAATCTCACGGTTATCAGACACTTGTTTCTTCAAATCCTGCTCAAGCTTCCTCTTACTGTCGTGAATCTCTGCCACCCTGGACCTCAGCTTCTCAGAATTGCTTTGGATTCTGAGGACATAAAGCAAAAAAGGTCTCCTCAGCTTTGTTCAGTAGACAAGTTGCAGTAGGTAAAGTCTGGGGATTCATAAAGCGTAACGGCACACATCAGCCTGGGACTGGGTGACACACCGCTGGATCTCCTTGTCATTGCCCTCCTTGGTGAATTTCTCCATATACTCCTTGCTGTGGCGTTTCTGAGTCTCACACTGCTCCTCAAAGATCTTGATGGTCTCATTAAAAGCCTCAATGGCTGTGCGCTTCATCTGCAGCTCCTACACACACAAGATACAGCCGTCGGGTTTAGTCTGTTTTTTTGTACAGTGTGTATTTCTGTGTAGTGCAACTGACATCACATTAACTTTTGAGGTATATTAAAATGATGTCATTTGTTCGTCCAGTAGATAGCCAAAATATCAGTAACAAAATTTTAGGATTAAATAACACTAAACTAGATTAAATGTTTTAAATCATTCAACCGTATTGTATGTGACCTATAATAATCCATGTGCATGAGATTTGTATTATATGCTAAATTTTAATTAGTTTTTCATTTTTACCTCATCTCTGTAACTCTTGCTTTCATTAAATCATTTTTTGTATAAATAAATGGTAATATAACAAACCTGATTAATTACTCAGAGGCAAAATCTACAAATTACACAGTTGTATAATTTGAGTGTGTTGTCAAACTAAATTTAAAAATTAGAGAAAATGGCCATGTTACGGAAAAGAGTTCCTGAGAATGACCCCTCTGCAAAAGCTTAGGGTTAGGGTTACCTGGGATGAGCGCATGTACTCCTCGTACAGGACGTCATATTCCCGGCTCTTCTCCTGGTACTGTTCGTGGTAGACCTTCAGCTGCTCACCAACAGCTTCGATACTGTCCTCCTTCACCAGCTGTTCCTTTGGACGGAAGAGACGCAATACCCAACATATTACAGGTACTCCATACACAGTGTATATATATATATATATATATATATATATATATATATATATATATATATACACACACACAGTCAATATATATCATCCATCCATGTTCTAACCACTTATCCTTGTCAGGGTCGAGGGGACTGGAGTCCAAGCTGCAAAGTTCAGGCCATAAGGCCAGCTGTGCACTTAATGTGACACCAGTCTAAAAATGTTCATTTCTACTTAGTCCCATGTTCCTTAAATTTAGGTTCAAATATAGATTCAAGAATTTGGGATGCTACAATGGGTTTGTGCCCTGTACCCACAGATTCCAGGATAGGTTCCAGACCCCTGCGACCTTGCATAGGACAAGCAGGTACAGAAAATAGATGGATGGATGTATTCTGGAATGATCAATTGAAATGAATGAGCCACTAATGGCAGAGCAAAGGGAGCAGGGCTGTGCCTGGGAGACTCTGGTGGGCTGGTACCTGCTGGGATTTGGAGATGGGGTAGAGGAGCCTCGTGTCCAGCTTGGGGTTGTACTGCGCTAGCGACTCGTGCCGGTAGTGGGTGATCAGCTCCACCACCGACGCGAAGGTCAGTGGCTCAGAGAAGCCATACTTGCCCCCCCGATGGAAGATCTTGATCAGCTTATTGTTTCCACCTTTCCTGTGAGGCACAGAGATGGCAGACTTTGGTCAACACCCAATCAGCTAAGCCCCCACCCTCAACACAGACAGCAGCCGATCAGCTAAGCCCCCACCCTCAACACAGACAGCAGCCGATCAGCTAAGCCCCCACCCTCAACACAGACAGCAGCCGATCAGCTAACCCCCCACCCTCAACACAGACAGCAGCCGATCAGCTAACCTCACACC